ATGGTGTCTGAGATAGAATAAAAAAAGGAGGGTTTTCCACACGCAATGCACGAATATTGAGGCTTTTCTCCTTACATTATTTATTTTTGCTGTGTGTTGGTTCCTTTTCTTTCAACAATCATTATTATTACAAAAGACAATGACCCATCTCTCTACCCTATTTGGCTACACGTGGGGTTATTAAATCTCCTACTTGTCTCTTGGACTTACCAACAATTCAAATGCATCACGACTTTATTACCACTCCCAATAATCCAATATTTATGTCCTTCCATGGCTTGCTCTCACATTTAAATGATCAACCCTAGAGATTCAAAATTAAAAAGATGCAAATTCTTCTTTTAAGAAAATCGATGAAACCCTTTGCTTATAAAGTTATGTTATGTTTTACTATGCATGTATCGTGATTGTTATGTATGATTAAATCCTATGCTAAGGATCATAAACTTAGTTTCTTGTGTATGAATAATATATCATGTTGTCTCGTAGATGTATAAGAGGATGACCACGTTCCAAGGACAAAATAAGGGTATAAGAAGTTTGGCCCGTGAAGCATCAATGAGTCACTGATTGAGGAACCACTAATGGCACTCATAATGCCCCTAGTAGGATACTTTTCATGCAATGATGCAGACTATGACAGTAAACCTGTAACGATCCAGATCCACTGCTAGTAGATATTGTCATCTTTGAGCTTTTTCCTTTCGGGCTTGCTCTCAAGGCTTTAAAACGCGTCTGCTGGGGGAAGGTCTCCACACCCTTATAAATGGTGGTTTGTTCTCCAACCCAACCAATGTGAGACATCACAATCCACCACCCCTTCGTGGCCCAGCGTCCTCGCTGGCACTCTTTCCTTCCTCTAATCAATGTGGGACCGCCTCCAAATCCACCCTCCTTTAGGCTCGAGTGTCCTTACTAGCACACTGCCTCATGTCTACCCCCTTCGGGGAACAGCGAGAAGGCTGGCATATCATCTGATGTCTGGCTCTGATATCATTTGCAACGGCCCAGATCTACCGCTAGCAGATATTGTCCTCTTTGGACTTTACCCTTTCAGGCTTCCCCTCAAGGCTTTAAAACGCGTATACTAGGGGAAGGTTTCCACACCCTTATAAATGGTGGTTTGTTCTCCTCCCCAACAAATATGAGACATCACAGAACCACTAGGTGCATGCGACTTGTAACCTGAGTGTGATAAGGGGCGAGATACCTATGAAATTTCAGGATATACTATCCTCATGTCTTTAATAGGACCTTCGAAGATCGGACAGTTGCAGTATTGTGGCTATTATTGATGTAGACGATATTTCAATTAATGGATTGAGGACGAAAAAGTATCATGTGCTTCATTCAAGTTGTAGGTTCACAAGGTTGATGAGATTTGCTCAAGAATCTGTTGATATTGTTGGGATATGAAGTCTGATGCCTAGATCTAGTAGAGATATATATGGAAGGTATTTCGTAAAAATCTGATAGAGACATATATGATAAATATTTGGTAAAGATTTGATAGAGATATATTTGGTAGATTATATCTAGTAGGTTTAAATCTTTCAAAGCTATTTAGTAAATTGAAACCATATATATACCACATTAGGCAGTGCTTACAAAATGAATTTTTCTTCATTCCTCCTTGAATTTTATCTCTCCTGTTCTTTGTGTTCATCTTGATCGAGTATGTGCGTTGTTGAGCGATTCTAACAACTGGTATCAGAGCGCGACGAAATTCACCATGATCTGTGCAGATGAAAATTTCCAAGATTGGAATTAAAAAGTTTTATGTATCCGATTTCAGTTTCTGGAAGATGCAGATTGAAGATTGTCTATACTAGAAAGGTCTTCACGAACCCCTGTTGGGAGTGAAGCCGGATACTATGGCCACAGAGTAGTGGAAGGTTTAGGATCGCCAGGCCTTAGGGCTGATCCGGTTGACGCTGTCCAGAAACGTAACATTCAATATCATCAAGGAGAAGACAACATGTAATTACCTAAAATAGTAATGATAATATGTATTTTGTATTTATTTGTTGTGTTTGTTAATAATAATAATAATAATAATAAGGAAATTTAATAAGGAAATTAAAATAAAATAAAATAAAAAACAAAAACGAAAACGAAAACACGGTAGCCGTGTCAAGCAGCTGCTGTAAAGGAGGATAAGGGAGAATGGACGCGTGGGCTGGAGGTGTTGAAATGATCAAGGGTTTGGTAGATGGTGTGGAAGCAAATTAGGGAGTTAATTAGGCTTTAAAAAAAATGAAGAGCAGCGGACAGATGAAAACTCAGAAAACAGAGGAGGAAAAAAATTCTGAGATTTCGAGTTTGGGTTGCTTAAGTTTGGTTGTCAATCGAGTGTAAGGAAAGAGAGGTTGTTGCTGAGGAATCCTTTGAGGAAGGGGACACGGCCACGAGCGAAATCGGACGGTTATTCAAAGGTAACAAAAAATCCATATCACCAAACCTTTAAATCTCGATATCTTGGTTCATATTGCATAATAAATTATGAAATAGGGCTTGTTAGAACGATAATTAGAAGATCTATAAAGTTGTAGAAGAAGTCAGAACGAAATCAGAGCTGTAGAGATGGAATATGGCTTCGAGATACAATGGGCATTAATAGGAAAGTTGAAAAATCGCAGAAAACCAAAAGGAAGAAGAAGAAACGCATGCGATACATGCGAGGCGCGTAGGAGGCCGCGAGTGAGAGTGCGACTATGCGCGTGAGAAATTACCCCCTGAAATTGTGTTGGCGCGTGAGGGCGCGTGAGAAGTTATTTTGGCTCCCGGTTTGTCCCGTTCGACTCCTTTTGACCTGTCCTATCAAAATTGGTCTATACTTATGTTGAAATTGGTAAAATATAGGTCTAATAGGAAGGAATTGTGTTGGAATACCTATTAAACGTACATTTAAGGGAAAAAAGAGTTCGAAACCAAGTAAGTAGCATATCGATCTTTGAACTAGTTCTTAACTTGTTTTACAACATGTGAGTATGTTGTTTACCTGATTAAGAGCTTAGTATGTTAAGATGAACTTTGATGATATTGAATGTTTATTATATATTGTGATTGCTTGCCTGTGATTTAAGCATGATATAAATGATTGCCAGAATGTTTTATGTGTTGAACATTTATGCAGTAAATGTGAGTATGTTATGCATGTTAATGGAAAGGTTAGGACTTTAGGATATGCTTATTGGTTGTTGAGCCATGGCTTATTTATATGAGTATGATAGTCTACTAATTCCCTAGGAATTCCTGACCAACGTGCTGTGTGCTAAGTCAGGGAGCATGAGTACTCCTAACCGTTGGTATATGAGATAAACAGGCTGCCAGAGAAATTAGTAGACGGGCCGTATTTGACCGAGAGCGAGTCTTACATACGAGTCCGAAAATTCTAGATAAGCATATCACGAGAGAGTTAGTAACCTAAGCTGGAGGTAGCTGAGATACCTCATTAATGAACAGATGACCCTAGTAAGAGAAACTAGGAGTCAATGGCGAATAAAACTTAAAACACCTGTAAAGATTAGTTATGAACTCATGAAAGATAAGTTAACTACTTACTAGGTAATCTAATTACTCATCAAATATGTAAATATGTTTTCGTTGTTAAGATTTTTGTTGGTTAATAACGTTTTAAACAGAACTGTTTTTTTTTTATAGTATTTTACTTAATATTATGAAATGTTTTTATTGGAAAAGTTGAAAATTTATGATTTGATGTCAGAGTTTGTTATCAGTGTCGATGGTAACTCCTGTTAATCGCATTGTCGATGAGCGAGTGTTACACAACATCAGATCTGTTGAAAATGCTATCGAATATGTACGAAAAACCGTCGGCCATGAATAAGGTGTATTTGATGCAGGAAAAGAAGAATCACAAATATGAAGATACTAAGGATGCTCTAATTCTTAGTGTGGACCACCTGCTTGAATCCTGGATTTTGGATTGAGGTGCATTGTTTCATTTATCTCCAAATCAGGATTTGTTTCAAAATCTCAAATTAGGAAATTTTGGAAAGGTGTATCTTGCCGACAACAAAAATTTGGAGATTGAAGAAAAGAGAGATGTTTGCATACAAACTTCAGCAGGGAATCAGTGGACATCAAAGGATGTCAGATATATTCCTGATTTTTATTTGTCAATTGGATAGTACAGGTTATGCAGCCGAGTTTGGAAAGAGTTCGTAGAAGATTGTGAAGGGTGCTATGGTGGTACGTGGTACAAAATCTGGAACCCTATACACCACTGTAGGGCATATAAACATGACTGCTGTTGTTGAGAGTGCTTTCAATTCAAGTCTGACATAATAGGCTTGGACATATGAGCGTCAAAGGAATGAAGATGTTGGCTGTGAGAGGAGTTTTAGAAGACCTAAATTCTGTTGATATGGGTCTTTGTGAGAGCTGCGTTATGGGCAAACAGAAACGAGTTAGCTTCACAAAGGCTGCCAGAGAACCAAAGAAAGTACGACTGGAAATGGTCCATACAAACGTTTAGGGATCATCTCCAGTTTCGTCACTTGGCAGATCAAAGTTCTACATCATCTTCATTGATGATTTCAGCATGAAGGTAGGGGTTTATTTCCTGAAACACAAGTTAGACGTGTTTGTTACCTTCAAGAAGTGGAAAGCTGAAGTTGAAAATCATACCAGATTGGAGATTAGATGCTTGAGGTATGACAATGGAGGAGAGTACGACAAACCAGAGTTTAAAACATTTTGCGCAGTTGAGGGAATTAGATTAACGAGGACAGTTCCTAATAAGGCAAGACAAGATGGCGTTGCAGAAAAGATGAACAGAACATTAAATGAGCTGACAAGAAGCATGAGGATTTATTTTGGACTGCCAAAGACATTCTGAGTTGATTTTGTGAGCATAGCAGCTTATTTGATCAATAGAGGGTCGTCAGTACCCTTGGAGTTCAAAGTGCCAGAAGAACTATGAAAAGGAAAAGAACTCAAGTACTCTCACTTGAATTTTTGGTTGTACTGCGTAGGTTCACGTCAATCAAGAGAAAAGAGACAAGCTTGATGCTAAGGCTATGAAGTGCTACTTCATAGGCTATGACTCAGACTTGTTCGGGTATAGGTTTTAGGATGACAAGAATAGAAAAATCCTAAGACATTGTGACGTAACCTTTGATGAAAAAGTCATGTACAAGGACAAAGAGAAGATAAACTCTGAGACTACGAAGTAAGTGGGAGTTGAACTTGAGTCGCAGGCAAACTCACTCAGTGATTTTACAACAGAAGCTCAAGAAACTCCTGAGACCGTTGCTAAAGAACCAGACGTGGAACAAGTGACACCTGAGCAAGTGTTGAGGAGATCATCCAAAAATTATCAGAGAACCAGATAGATATTCACCTTCATTGCATTATCTGTTGCTGACTGACGAAGGAGAACTAGAGTTCTTTGATGAGGCTCTACAAGTGAAAGATTCAACCAAATGGGAGCAAGCCATGGATGATGAGATGAGCTCACTTGAAAAGAATAATACATGGGTGCTGACTGAGTTACCTACAAGAAAGAGAGCTCTGTTGAACAAATGGGTGTTCAGAATCAAGGCTGAACCAGATGGCAAAAGAAGGTGCAAGGCTCGATTAGTAGTTAAAGAATATTCACAAAGAAAAGACATTGATTATGCTGAGATCTTTTCTCCTATTGTGAAATTAACTACTATCCGAATTCTACTAAGTATTGTTGCAGCGAAGAATTTGCACCTTAAGCAAATGGATGTAAAAATAACGTTTTTATATGGAGATCTAGATGAGGAGATCTTATGCAACAACCAGAAGGGTTTGCAGCTATAGGCAAGGAGCACAACAAGAGCTTGTATGGACTAAAACAAGCACCGAGACAGTGGTACAAGAAGTTTGGCTCTTTTATGTACAAGAGTGATTTCCATAGGAGTGAAAAGGATCCGTGTTGTTACCTTAAGCAATATACTGATTCTTATGTGTTTCTACTCTTGTACGTGGATGATATACTGACTGTTGGATCCAATATGAGGGAGATAAACCATCTAAAGGCAAGCATGTCTTCAGTATTTGAGATGAAAGATTTGGGTGTAGTGAAACAGATTCTTGGGATGAGGATTTCTCGAGATAGATCTGTTGGCACATTAAATCTATCTCAAGAGAAGTACATTGAGAAGGTGTTGTCCAATTTAGGATGAATGATACTAAACCCAAGAGTATCTTTTGACAAATCATATTAAATTGTCAAAGGGACAATCTCTCAAGACAGTTGAGAAACGTGAGCACATGGCACCAGTTCCGTAAGCTTTTGCAGTTTGGAGCTTGATGTATGTTATGGTCTGCACTAGACCTGATATAACACATGCCGTGGGAGTTGTAGCAAGTACATTGCAAACCCAGGGAAATAACATTGGGAAGCTGTGAAGTGGCTTCTGAGATATTTGAGAGGTACATCCAATACTTCACTTTGTTATGACAATGACAAAGTAGTTATGCAATGTTTTGTGGATGCTGATCTGAGTGAAGATGTAGAGTCTAGCAAGAGCACATCTGGATATATCTATACTATAGATGGAACAACAATAAGTTGGATGTCTAGGCTTCAGAAATGCATTGCTCTTTCATCTATTGAGACTGAGTACGTGGCAATAGCTGAAGCTGGAAAGGAGGTGATATGGATGACAAACTACCTAGAAGAATTGTGCAAAAAGCAGCACGAGAAGATTCTTTATACAGATAGAGTGCCATACAATTGGTGAGAAACCTAGTTTATCATTTAAAGACAAAACACATCAGAAGACAATATCATTTCACTCGCAGGCTAGTGGAAGAAGGTGATATGTGTTTGAAGAAGATAGATAGTGCAAATAATCCAGCAGACATGTTGACAAAATGTGTTGATGTTGGAAAGTTGAAGTTGTGCAAAGCCTCAATTGGTATGATGTAGATTGAGAATGAAATTCTTAGTTGATTGGATTAGTCTCCAAGTGGAAGATTGTTGGGATATGGAGCCTAATGCCTAGATCTGGTAAAGATTTGATAGAGATATATATGGTAGATATTTGGTAAAGATTTGATAGAGATATATTTGGTAGATTATATCTCGTAGGTTTAAATCTTTGAAAGCTATTTAGTAAATTGAAACCATATATATACCCTATTAGGTAGTGCTTACAAAATGAACTTTTTTCCTTCCTTGTATTCTCTCTTATTGTACATACCTGAAGTCATCAATAAAACCTTTAGCCAATATTTTTTCTTGAATTTTATCTCTCCTGTTCTTTGTGTTCATCTTGATCGAGTGTGTGTGTTGTTGAGCGATCCTAACATATACATAAGCCAAGAAGGCAAAGAGTTTTATTATGAGCCTTAATGAAGGGGTCCGAGGTGTTGTTGTAGTCCTAACACCTAGTAAATATGTTAGTAGCTACTGTGATGGGAGATGTCATAACCTAATTTTTGAATTGTTTGAAAGACGGATCGTGATGTGGGCTAACTCAAAGGTGTAAAAATATGGTAAATTTTTTATTTTTAAGATAAAAGTATAAAAAAGTTTAAGAACGGTAAGTACATACATATATATATTTATAATATCCAAAATAGTGTTTAAGTTTAAATGCACAAAAAAGGAATGGAGTATATAATACGATTGAGACTAAGCGGATACAAAACCAGTGGAGGCTCTTGCCCTAGGTTTTTCTCTATGACATATGTTCTAGATCCTCCCCTCCTCGAATAACATCTAGTCATTACCTAAAAAACATGTAAAAACTAGAAACACAGTAAGTAGTTTACTTGTAGGCTATTGATCGTGTCCATGATTGATGTTAGGGTATTATACTTTTAGCCTACAAAAGATATAACATTTTTTATGTTCTAAAGACCTTGATCCTAGATCATGAGTTTTGAGTTCGTAAGGTTTGGTCAATCTAGTGCCTAGCTCTAGCTTATGCACTTGTACAATTCCTTATCCTTGGACGAGTTTAAGGCGAGTAGATCTCATTGGGTTGTCCACTTCCACTCCATACATAATAAATAACACCAGTCCTATTCCTAAAACACTCCCCTAAATAGCCTACTAGGTCACATGGCGGTAAACAATATGAACCTAAGCAGATACCTATGTCTAAGATTTGAAATCTAGATTTGGCCCATGGTTGCTTCTTTATTCCTCTACGTCCCCCCTCACATATTTTGGGTTATGACATCTTGAAAGGTATCTAGAAAAAGCATCTCATTGAAATGCGAAAAACATATGATCATGATGTACTATGTATTGGGAGGTCTAGAGTGATTTAGGGCATAAGAAAGGTCTGATTAGAGTAGTGCTTAGCCATATGGGTGTCCTAATTGACGTAGCGCTTGAGTGGTGCATTTTTTGAAACCAACCTATTTGGCTTGACTCGTTTAACTCTAGAGCAATATCGTAGGTTCATACGTTCATAGTTTTGACTCTAAGGACTATCATAAAAGCTTAAGGCATAATCAAAACATGTCATATTATAAAGTTCATAAGCTCTAATCTGAGCATACACGTTATAATCTTGTCAACACTTCACAAATTCAGACATAAGTCACACATAATATCATAAATAAGTGTCATGCAAATTCTCATGTCATTTAGAGTTCATCAGAAGGGTTATTTTCATCATTTTCCACCATAATCTTAGTTCATGCCCTAAACATGCTACAATATATTTAAAACCATGTCTAGTTATATATATAGGCCTTATAGAAAATTTTAAGTTATTTTTGTTGGGTTTTATGTCCTAAAACTAATAGTTTGTAAACAAAAATATATTCTATTTACAATAAAGTTATTATTGATGTTTATTCAGTAAAGATTGTTATTGAATAAAGTGAATTTATTAATCTAAATCCAATAAACTAAGAACACTCTGGCTCTAGAATGATTACTTGAACTATATGTGGAGACACAAGAGTGGATCAAGTTTAAATATATAGTCAAAATGATCTATAGTACAGGGATAATGCTGAGTACCTTATCTTGGGGATACTATGGATGCGACCCACTTTTGTATGTGATACAAATAATGTGATCACTAAAATGTACATGTGGAGACATGTGAGTGGGGGCGTCCTATGCAATGAGTATTGCATTAGATCGAACCATGAAGAAAGTCACTCTCACTTTATAATGTCGTTTATTGTTGAGACTGATTTTTTCATTTGATGATCTAGGTAACTTGATCTTAATCGAGAGAAAACTATGAACTCTTGTTTATTTAGAATTATCCTTAGATTTGCATGGGTGAGAGTGGCCTGAGTTCGCCGACTCAATAAGCCTCCCATTTCGTAGGTAAGACTGGGTGAATAGTTGGGAATATAGGGTGCAAGATGGAATTCGCTCCTATTCGCTATTAGAGATAGTAGAGAGGTTGTTCCCTTAAGTACCGACGCCAGGTCTTGAACAAGGGGCCCCACCCTCTCATTGGCCCCAGAGGGATTCAGTTTAGTGGTTGGACCACAAACCAATTGTTCACTAGAGGATCAGTGGGACTTAAAGAACAAGAAGTAACTTCAGGGATAAAACGGTAAATTGACTCAGCTCTAGTTACGAACAACGTGTGAATGATTGAATTACTAATCATAGTTATATCAAATGGACAGAAATACATCTTTAGTGAGGGGAGTACAACTTCTAGGCTATAGTGGAGTATCCTGATAGTTAACGAATGTTGGTTAACAAGGTTAATGAGTTTAATCGGTTAGTCTCGGATTGTTGGAGCCCATGGTTTGTAGGTTCATTAGGTCCCCCTGCTAGCTCATATCAAACTAAACCCTAGAATAGTGTGACGAGTGAGTTTGAAGCGTTCGAATTCAAATTAGAAAATTTGCGCTAAATATATACGATATATTTAACCGCATTTTGTTTTAATTATGAATTAAAAAAAAAGAATTAGAGATATTTAAATAAAATTTAAATATTTGAACTATGTAATCATAATCAATATGTGTCGAAATTGATTGGAATTGGTTTTGTTTTAATGTTAAATATTAATTAAATTGTTTAATTAATCATTTAATTATTTTAGTTTGAAATTAATTATTTAAATTAATTGTTGAATTAAAATAGAGAAAGTCACAATATTGACTT